GGTGCCCCCAGCTGCAGGAGCTCCTGGGGCACCTGAAGAAAAGCAAGCAGCAGGTCTGCGACGGATTCACGATTAGAGCCCTGATGAGAAACACTGTGGTATGTTTGCCGCTGGTATACAGGTGGTGCTAATTACTGTAATCCCACGTGTCCAGAAAGTGTAGCGAGTTAGAGCTGGGGATACAGCGCATCAGGAAGGCATGTGAGTTGCTAAAACTTCATCTAGAGTTTGCTGGCTGCTGAAATTACCTTCAGGCTTTACAGAAGTATTATAATGAGGTAGCTGTGCCTGTGGAAATGGTGATGCTTCGCCTCCAAGCGTATTGCTTTAGTGCCACAATTTTTCTGTATTGTTTTGTGTTGGCAATGCACGTTCCATTAAACTGTCAGCCTATAGAGTTGTGTGCAAGGCTTACCACCTCGCAGTTAGCAAAATGCTGTCAAGTGATACGGTAGTATTATTTGAAAGTGTTTTCATACACTGTCACTGTGTGGTATAAATTTGATGTGTAACATAGGATGGCAAAGATGTGGGAAATACATTCACTTTTAAAATGAGTGAAAATACTAGGATAAAGGCCTTTCAAACTGCTTTATATTTTTTTATTTGTCTACTTTGGTCAGATTTTAGGAGTAAAACCGGCTTTGGCTAGTACAGAGGGCAAATGTTCAACAAGGGAGTAGATGAGCTAATATGAGCACACATCTGTCCTTATGCTCCTGAATTGTATTTTTCTTTATTTGGGCACTGTTCAAGGTGTTAGTAAAGAAAGTCTTGTGTTCACAAGGTCTCTTTAGTTCTGTATATTCTTCTGACAACAGTTATGAAATATATTATTTCGCTTGTTTTGCGAAACAGTTTTCCCGGAGCAGTCTCTCTGGACTTGTTATCTGTAAGAGCACCCTCTTAAAAACCCAAAGAAGTCCATCTTTAAACAAATTTTAAGCGGACGGGAACTTGTGTACATTAAAAACTTTCTCCTTATTAGTAAAGCCAAAACATGTTTCACCTTAGTGCAAAGAATGCAAAAACAACCAAAACCCCTCTTTTTTGTAAAGATTGGTTGGTTGGTTTGTTTTTAATTCTAGAGATGTGTGGAATAGACTATAACGCTTCAGCAAGTTTAAGGATTAATTTTTAAAAGACATTTCCTCTTCTCTGGACAAAATTCAGATCATGGATAGCTGCACGTATTTGTTTACGCCTTGATAAGTAAAAGATGCTTGATTTCATCTAGAAGAATCAGCAGTTTCAGTGGAGTTTGAGAAATATATATTTAAATTTGAAAAAGGATCTTTGACTTGTGAACATAACCAGCTATGATTTTAATCAGAATTTCCTTTTAAAGTTTTATGGCTACAATTCTAACTTCCTAAACATGAACAGAATGTTGAATCATGTGGTACTGTCATTAAGCAACAGCAAACAGGTAAATCTACTGCCTTTGGAACTACTCATTGAATCACAGAATCACAGAATAGTAGGGGTTGGAAGGGACCTCTGTGGGTCATCTAGTCCAACCCCCCTGCTGAAGCAGGGTCACCTACAGTAGGCTGCACAGGACCTTGTCCAGGTGGGTCTTGAATATCTCCAGAGAAGGAGACTCCACAACCTCCCTGGGCAGCCTGTTCCAGTGCTCCGTCACCCTCAGAGAGAAGAAGTTCCTCCTCATGTTCAGACGGAACTTCCTGTGCCTCAGTTTGTGCCCGTTGCCCCTTGTCCTGTCACTGGGCACCACTGAAATCATAGAGATGATGTTTTTATGGCATGGACTTCTGGAGATCATCTAATCCAACTTCCCATTTGAAGTGGGCCTGTCACTAGCGCTAGATCAGGTCAGTCATGGGTTTCCCTAGCTAAGCTGTGAAACCCTCCGACAGCAGAGGATCCCTGACCTCTCCAGACAACCTGTTTGGTGGCTGCCCTGCCTGCCTGCCCCCTTGGCGCCCTGTCAGAGATAGGGTTAATAGTGTTCTGACCTGCTCCACAGGTTCTGCTCCTAACTGGGTAGGAAGTGGTGAAACTGTTAGAGCTCCTTGAAAGATTCCTAGTGCCAGGGCTGTATTTTTCAAAAGCTCCAAGTGAGAACAGGCAGCCACTGGAATCATTTCCCAAGGGTCAGTGTGCAAAAAATCAGGATAGGGTAAGGAATATCTCACTGCCACTCTGTGCAGAAGCGTGTCTCTCTTCTCTTTTCCAACAATTGGTTAAATGGAGCTTCAAATTTATTAAGTACTCACTTGTCAGAGGTTGATGTCATCGATGAAGTTCTCATGGAAGGCGAAGGAATTGACTGGAGGGTTGAAAGCACAGCAAGCAAATATAGTTAAGACATGTTAATTCTTGTTATTAACAGCGTGACAAGGCATGGGGTTGTCAGCAATGCGTTGAGCATCTCCAGGTCAAACAACTAGGTACAGGTTGATAGCCTTTGATGCAAGCATGCAGTGGGTCTTTAACGCTTAGCGTAGAGTCTAACAGATTACCATTATGCATATATGACTGTAAATAGTGTAGTGCAGGTTCCAGAATTCTTTGATGTTGTTTGTGCAAAGAGCGTTTTACTAAGCCACTTTCATGAAAGTTGCTGGATAGAATTTTCTTCCCAAGTCTGCTCTCATAACCAGTACTAAGTACAGGAATTAAGTACATACAATATGCAAGACTTTACTCAGCTCTGGCTAAATCTAATATTTTCTTATTGAAATACATTACTTAATAAATATTCACCAAAAAAAAAATGTTCCTGAACTGAAGAAAGTGTTTTGTTTTATGTTATTCCAAAACTGTAAATTCATATAGCAGTTTAGATTAAGAGCAAGATCCAATAAAGTTCTTCTACACTAACAAGCTAGATACTGACATTTACATTTTAATTGTTTTGTCCTCCAAGTAGGATCAAGAATGCCATGTTATGTGCTCATAAGTCACATGTACTGCACAGGCAGAATTAGGAACATAATTAAAAATTAATATACAGACTAGCAAGTAGAAAAGTGTCTGTACGTGAATGTGCACAGCAGGAAGATACCTCTGTTCACTTCTGATCCTCTGCAAATGGTTATCTTTCCTATTTTCTGCAACTATACATGGGAGAATAAAATGTTAGTGCCCCCCTTCTCTGTAATAAACTAGTAGTAAAAGCACTTTTTCAAGAAGATTCATTTAATTACTTAAAGGGAACCATAGAAATGGAATGCCAGTCTATCTCTCAACTTTTAAAAGGTTCTGAACCAATAAGTTTCCAGGTTACTGATGTGAAAAAGATTTCAGAGTCTCCACATGTCCTTTCAAATCGCTGTTACTGTGCTGCAAAGAGTTAGGGTTCATAGGGCTAGAAAGTGGCAAGGTAGGAAACTCACTAGACAATATATTTTAGTGATTACATGGTTCATGCAGGAGTTTTGGAAGCTTTGGGTTTTGTTGTTTTATGTCCATCATTGCTTGCTGGAATGAATCTGATGGTTTTGGAGTAGAACTGGAACTTAAGGCATCCTCTCCTGAGTGCAGAGCCAATAAAACTGTGAAAGGATGTTCTTTTTCTGTCTGGTTTTTCTGAACCTTGAAGTCCTTACTACGAAATGGCAGCAGTTTTTTTTTGAATCAGTTTACCTTTTCTCTACAGGTCCTCCTTTAGTAACACTATTGCCAGTTAAGTTGAAGTATCCTGCAGTATGAAATTGAACTCCTCTGGCCAGGGTACTGAATCTGGGTTTGCTTCCTGGCTTAGTGTGTAAACCAGGTTTTATACAGAAAATATCACTGCTACATCCATCTGTGTTCCATGAAAACAGTCCGCAACTGCTACTAGTAATGGCCATGTCCAGCTGGAGTTTAAGGGATAAAGTGAAAATGTCTACTGGATGGCCTTAGAAGGGGAATGATGCTAAGAATTGTTTTGTTCCTGGATTTCAAAAACCAAAGCAGAGCTATTCAACCTGGGAGAGTCTTAGCCATGTGCAGAAGCACAGCTCCCATCTCCTAAAAGAAGTGTAATTGCTTACAAGCAGAAAAAAGGTTATTTAGATTGCAGTTCTGGATTTTCATCCCTCTGTTCCTCATTTAGGAGTCTGCAGTCTCTCTGTATTGGAATGAGTTCTCAATCTTTATTGCTTAAACTGCTTTTTCAAGCCATTAACAGTAATGTGTGTGTTCTTACCCTTTACCTTTTCATAATAATTCATAGCAAGGGTTTCATTTTAACCATAGAGATAATGTGATTTGTTTACATTCTGAAACTTGTGATCTGATATTCTATTTATATTCATCCACGTTGTGTAACTAAAACTACTTCTGTTATTTACCTTGTAGCAGTAAGTTTCTGACCTGATTTTAAGGCTACAGGAAAGCATTATTTACAAGAAAAAAGTCCTACCTTTCTATTATAACAGCTAATGTATTGGAAAAGGCAGTGTGTTTTGGGGCAAGTAGATGTCAAGTTAAAGGAATGTTTTGATAAATGTTTATTGGGCGGTAGTATGTCCATCTTGGAGGAGCTGCTCCAGTTTAACAGTAGCAATTTTGTACAATCTATGAGTACACTTTAGTGAAGACTTGAGTCAATTTAAACTGTCAGTGTTCTGCACAGCAGTCTTACCTTCTTTCTGTTTCAGACGGTTTATTACTGCTGCCCCTTACTGTGCCCACATTTGTACAGTGCTGGCTTATGAGGGAACTGATCCTGTAAAAATCCTCCAGCCTGTTTAAGCTAAACAGTGTCAAACTGCAGTCCTTGGGCTTGAGGCAAGCAAAGCTCCTGCTGCCACCAGGCTCCTCTGTCCGCCCTCCTGTCCTAGCTGCATGCTTCCATCTCCCCTTTTGCATTTACATTGGTGCTTCTTGCAGCTACAGAGGAGGCTGGGTCAGCTCTAACAGCTGTTAACATATACAAGGAGGAGGTGAAACAGGAATATGTTGTCAGCACAAGCTGTGTGAGTGGGAAAGTACCTCTTGGCAACATCATGGTTTGGTCCTAATACACTTAATGAAATTGGGTTCTAGCAGAGTAATTCCACAAAGCATTCAAAGCACCATAAACTTGCACCACAATTGAAAGATGTGGTTATCATCCCTGAACATTTGTTCTTTGTGCAATATA